AAGGAGGAAAAGATATGGGGAAAAAGAATATGGGGAAAAAGAATATGGGGAGAAAAGAATATGGGGGGAAAGAATATGGGGAAAAAGAATATGGGGAGAAAAGAATATGGGGGGAAAGAATATGGGGAAAAAGAATGTGGGGAGAAAGGAATATGGGGAGAAAAGAATATGGGGAGAAAAGAATACGGGGGAAGGAGGAGCCAAGAGAAAAAAAGGAGAGAAAAATTATGGGGAGAAAAGAATATGGGGAAGGAGGAGCAAAGGGAAAAATAAGAGAAAAAAAATTGTGGGGAGAAAAGATATGGGGACGACATTTGGGGAGAAGAGGTTTGGGGAAAAGGGAGTGGAGGGATGTAAGGAGGAAAAGATATGGGGAAAAAAGAATATGGGGGAAGGAGGAGCCAACAGAAAAAGAAGAGAGGAAAATTATGGGGAGAAGAGATATGGGGACAAGATTTGGGGAGAAAAGGTTGGCGGAGAGGGAAAAGGTTTGGGGAGAGACTTGAGCAGAGGCAAAAGGGCGTGGGAAAGGGAGAGAAAGATCTGGGGAAAGGATTTGGAAAAGGGGGAAAAAACTGGGGAGAGGGAAGAAGATTTGAAGAGAGCAGGAAAGAATTGGGGAGAAGATGGAAGGCGGTTTGGGGAGGAAGTGGAAGGGGTTTTGGGGAGGTAAAAGGTTTTAGGGAGGAGGTAGAAGAGATTTTGGGGAGGTGGAAGAGATTTTGGGGAGGAGGTGGAAGGGATTTTGGGGCGGTAAGAGAGATTTTGGGGAGGAGGTAGAAGAGATTTTGGGGAGGAGGTGGAAGGGATTTTGGGGCGGTAAGAGAGATTTTGGGGAGGAGGTAGAAGAGATTTTGGGGAGGTAAAAGAGATTTTGGGGGGGCGCGGCTCCCCCGCTGCGGCGCTGTGGCTCCCCCTGGCGGCCGCGGGCGGTTCTGCGGGCCGGGGTCCCTCGGTGGTCGCGGGGACAGCGGGGACACAGCGGGGACAGCGGGGACACAGCGGGGACACAGCGGGGACACAGCGGGGACACAGCGGGGAAGAGGCGCCGTGCCGGACCCAAGGGGAGCAGTTCCCTGCGGCGCGTTCCGCTCAGAGCCCTGCGGGGTCCCTGGGGTCCCCAGCCCGGTGGCTCTCAGAGCAGCCCCCACATCCCCGACTGTCCCCTCGTCACGTTCTGCCACCACAGCGCTGCCTCAGCACGAAGGATAAACCAAACCTGTCCTCCCGCCCTGCCTGACCCTTTTCCTGCCCCACGCTGCCCCTGCCTCACTCCCAGCGCAGGAATTCCCTGCCCGGGAGCCCCACGGGCCGTGTGACAATCCTGGGATGTCACCGGGGCTTGGTCACCACTCGGGTTTCCTGAAGGCATTGGCAGAACTGCCCCGGTGACTTCAGAACCAAAGTGTGCGACCAACGGAGCTCTGCAGCTCCTGCACATCCTTCCCTGAGAGAACCTCGAGATTTCCTGTGCAAAGGAAATTAATGCCCTGTCCCCCTCCAGAGGACAGCAGTGACATCCCTGTGTCACTGGCACAGCCCCACCCTTGACACGGCTCCAGGGGACCCTGAACTGTTCCATGGCCACAGCACCYCCAGCCTGGCTGGCCCAGGGGAGCCACCGCATTCCCCGCTGGAATMTRACCAGCCCAGCCCCAAATCTGACASRTCCAGAGCTGCTTTTCCACTGGCATGGGTTCTGTGGGGTGTGGGGTTTGTTACCCCAAAACCTCGAGCCAGCAGTAGCTCCCCATATACAGCAGCCAGGTGAGGAGCAGAGGGAAGCACAAAACCCTGCAGGGCAATCCCTGCTGAGCCGAGCTGAGCTGAGCTGAGCTGAGCTGAGCTGAGCCGAGCTGAGCTGAGCTGAACTGAGCTGAGCTGAGCTGAGCGGAGCTGAGCTGAACTGAGCTGAGCTGAACTGAGCTGAGCTGAACTGAGCTGAGCTGAGCTGAACTGAGCTGAGCTGGGCAGAGGGAGAAGGGCCAGGCCAGCTCAGAGGAGCTGCTCCTGCAGGCAGAGCTGGAGCTGCTGAAAATCCAAGTGGAACGCTCTGAAATCGAGCACTCTGAGCAGTCCAGCAGGTGGAGAACAYGAGATGAGCCGGAGCAGGAGCGCTGCTGCCAGCTCGGATCCCGTCCCTGTCCCTGTCCCTGTGCCGAGCCCCTGGCACCATCGGGCACTGGTTTGAGCCGGGCTGCAGCAGTGAAATCCCATCCCTTCCCTCCTTCCACATCATCCCAGCCCAGCTTCAGGCCGGGTGAGCCAGGCAGCTCCCCAAAACACCAAGAAAACCCTCCTTCCCTCTGAATCCTGCTTTGGGATACACAAACTGCCTCCACCCCACAGAATTGGCACATCCCAGGCACCAGCACCCCTTCCATGGCAAAACCATCCCTGGGTGAGCAGGGTGGGGTCAGCATCAACAGGATCCTCACACAAACCCTTGGCTGCTTTCCACCTTTCAAAGGAATCCCTGATCCTCTCCAGCTCAGAGCTGTCTGCTTTTTTTTTTCTGCTGTGCTCAGCACTGTGGCAGCCCAGGTCCTGATTGCTCCTCTGATTCCTCATCATATCAAACAAACGCTCGAGCGCTGCCCTGAAATCATCGCCGCGGTCACCTGGGAACTGAGTTTGGAACTAAAGTTTATCCCTCATTTTTGTCTGCTCCCGACACGTACAAAGGAATTAGACCCACGGGTACTTCAATATTTAAATGGGGGTAAGAATATTTAAATAGGGGTAAGAATATTTAAATAGGGGTAAGAATATTTAAATGGGGGCAAGAATCCCTCCTTTTACTTATTCTGGGTTCAGTGGGATCAGAATCCCTCCCGTTCCTTGTTCTGGGTTCAGTGGGATCAGAATCCCTCCCGTTCCTTGTTCTGGATGCCATGGGATCAGAATCATTCCCGTGCCTTGTTCTGGATTCAGTGGGATCAGAATCCCTCCTGTGCCTTTTTCTGGATTCAGTGGGATCAGGATCTCTCCCGTTCCTTGTTCTGGGTTCAGTGGGATCAGAATCCCTCCC